CGGTCCGGAAGTCCATCCTAAGGAGTGCATGATCTGACCATGACAAGGGCTCTATAATTATCTCCCCCATTTCCAGATCATTCTGCCACTGGCCAGAGACAAAAATTAGATCCAGTGTGTGTCCTCCCGTGTGAGTGGGTGCATGAACTAATTGGGTCAAGTCCATGGTCGTCATGGAGGCCAAGAACTCCCGAGCCACCACTGATGTTTCGCCCGCCGATGGCAGGTTGAGATCCCCCATGACTATAAGTCTGGGGGTCTCAACTGCCACCCCGGCTATCACGTCAGCCAGCTCAGGCAGGGCCGTTGACACATAGCAGGGGACCAGGTATATTATCAACAGGCCCACTTGCACCCCTTGCCCCCACTTCACAAGGAGGGACTCTGCACCGTCTATCTGAGGCACAGTGGCCTCCCTTGGACACAGGCTCTCCCTTATAATGACCGCTACCCCCCCGCCCCTACCCCGGGCTCTCGGCTGATGGAATGCCTGGAAACCCGGTGGGCATAGATCAACAAGGGGAACTCCCCCTTCCATGCCCAACCAGGTCTCGGTGATACCTGCCAGGTCCGCACCCCCCTCTTGAATAAGTTCTTGAATGAGGGGGGCCTTATTTACCACGGACCTGGCATTGCACAACATCAGCCGATGGTCCCGGGCCTGAGGATCTAAGGTCCCTGGAAGTCGAGTAGAGCCCTGAGGATCGGAGCATCCACAAGCTTGTAAGCAGCGTGTGCGTGCTCCCAAAACCCGATATGGTCCTCTGCTCCCGCCATATCTGCCCCTCCCACCGACCATACCTATCACACCACCCTCCGCTAAAGTTAATTTGATTATGATAGTGTAAATTTCTAAAGCTTTAAAAACAGGTATAGGTTGAATAAATTTAAGCTAGAATTGGACTATTTTAAATAAATTAGGCTACTTAAGGGAAAAAGAGAGGGAATATTAGATGTATTGACTGAATTATGTATATATGTTTTGTCTTTGGATGTTTGACTACCCTAACACCATGGTGTGTCTTGAGCATTTTGTTTGAAAAACTAAAAAAACAATAATTTTTTTTTCTAAAAAAAAAAAGAAGAAGAAGAAGTTGTGGATGCTCCATCACTGGAGGTTTTCAAGAAGAGACTATATAGCCATTTTTCTGGAATGGTATAGAGTCTCCTGCTTGAGCAGGGGGCTGCACTAGAAGACCTCCAAGGTCCCTACCAACTCTGTCATTCTGTACTCTGTATTCATGCAAAACAGATTAGGTTGCTTATTTGCTTCTGACTCTTCAAGATCTAATGGACAACATTTTATCAGGATTATTTATCCATAACTACTTCTTTGCATTCATATAGGTTTATGGTTCTGGCATTAATATTCCATGCTTGGGAGTTTACTGAAAGAAGCAGCTGGCCACTAAAGAATACAGGATGATGGATTAATTGAATCATTAGTCTAATCAACACAGTTCTTATATTGTTAGATGGGTGGAAAGTCTGGTATGTTTACTAGTGTAAGCTTGATGAATTAGTAGTCTCAGTACAATAGGGTTTCAAAAGTGAGTTGTACAGTTTTGATTTATTTGCCTGTATGTTCCAAAAACAAATTAAAAGAACAAAATTCTCCCATCTAAAAGCTGCTGCTAAAACAAACTTGTTCCACCAAAAAACTTCTCCCACATATTATTACTCAACTTTAAAGCAGGCAGGTTTACATCTTTTTTTCATAAGAAACAACAGTTCTTTTTCAATGTTAGAGGCAATTTTACAGTACAGCACAGCTTTGATTTGAAATTGGAATATTTATTTCCAACTGAAAATATTCCATTATGTTGTAATATAACTTCACTTTACTGGGACTTTTAAGAAAACCCAATGGTCATCTCTTCTGATCCTTGTCTTTATTTTAAAGCTTATTACTATCTTGAACACCTTTTGATATCTGGTTATTTTTATTTCAGGGTGCCAAAGGAAGTCCAGGTCAACCTGGACCTGTAGGACCACAAGGAGAGAAGGTAAAATGAGAATTATATAAAGGAATGATGTATGTGTTTTCATGCTTTGAAAATTATTTTAAAAATAATTGGAGTGTAGGAGACAGCAAGCTTGAAAGCAGATGCATCTTTTTTTTAAAAAAAAAATGCATTGAAGATACAGCTACCATAAATAAATAACCTCTTTTAAAAAACTGCATCTTTTTCAGGCAAATGCCTGAAAATTTTCTATTTTCAGGTTTGAAAATAGATGTTGCTTCTTTAAACAGTTCCTATGCTTGCAGTCCCTCCAAACCTTTTCTACTTCATTTTTGTACAGTAACTTCTATACAAATGCTGCAAATATCTGGCTATAGGTATTTATAACCTGCTTGTATTCAAGTTTATTCATTCGGTTTCATTTATCATCAGGAACAAAATCTATTTAGTCCGTAAGAGTTTCTTACTGGCTTGATGGCACATAATCCATATTATTTCAATAATTTTCATTATGCCACCAATACCGTAATCATATTTTTAATGATCGTAGTTTTTGCATATTTCAGTAGCTGCAATCTACAGGGATAAGTCATTGATGTAGCTTTTCCTTTTTGGTTACACATTTTGTTGTTGTTTATTCCACACTGGAAATTTATGGTGATTCTTGTGATCTAGTGGTAAGATACATCTATGGAGTATATATAGAGACAAATAGCAGTTTATGCTGTCCAGGAAGGTCTAGGAAGGCTTTTTCAGTTCTTCCCAGACAATTTTTTTTATAAATCAGTGTTTCTCAGCATTGACAACTTTAAGAGATAAGGACTTCAGCTCTCACAGCCATGCTGGTTGAGGAATTCTGACAGTTTAGGCCCTATAGTTGCAAAGGCTGAGAAACATTAGTATAAATTAGTTAAGGAGGCTGTAGGAGACTCTTTCAGATCATCCATGTAATTATTTGTCTCTGATTTCTTTTCAAATATAGGGTGAAATTGGATCTCCTGGAAAACCAGGCTCAGCAGTAAGATTTATTTTATGCACAGCTTTAGCGTGGGATGGTGAAAAAATTAATTCTCTGGAATTGATGTGGGATTTGTAACATCTCCTATCTTTGATAAAAGGAAGCCATATTAATGTCCATGGATTAAGGCTAAAAAATAAATAAATCTGAAATTGGAATGTGTCCAACTGGTCATGCTTTGCAGGTTGGGGATCAAGAGGAAGAAATTTTGAGGAGAGCTTGTGGGAATAATGTGGGAATAATGAAGTGGAGGCTAATTCCTCACACATGCTCCTTAATGATTAAGGATCATTAATCAAGATTATGATTAAGTTTACAAGCCTGAAATAGGTTAGAAATTGATAGGCAAATCACTTATGTTGTACACATGGATATCAGCCTAATAGATCATTAATGGTAATAATGCTTTGATTATACATGGGACATAGGCCACTTTTAAAAAATATATGTTGGATAACATTTTGAACTGCTCTAACTGCTGTTACCATGTGTTCATTTTGCAAAGGGTTCTGAAGTTGTCCTACAAATTCTATTAAGATCTCACTACTGATATTGTTATTTCAGTATGTATAAAATGCCACAGGCTGAAAGGACCATTTCACATAACAATTCAAAGCAAAATGGTCTCATTTTTCATAGTCATTACCATTTTTTTTGTCAGGTTAGTGAAACAGATTTCATAGGTTAACCTCTCGCCAGTTTTTAAGCTGAATTGCATCACTTATGAAGATTCCCCATGCAGGCCAATCTGTAGTTTTATAAAACAGTGTAGCTGACTCAGAGTTGTGTCATAGCAAATAAGTTACTTGCTTCCAATTCAGTTTGGAAGCAATGTATAGTATGTAAGTTTACTCTTAGCTTTGCTACTCACGGTGGTCATTAGTGTTGGCACCAAGTCAGATAGAAATAGTTTCTCAAATGTAATTTCACACAATTGTTGAGACAATTAATCACTAGTGTTTCAATAATATGCTTGGTTTACATTTGTATGCTGTAAATGTCTTTCACTGTCTTCCCTCCACTCATCCCCCCACCCACCTATATGGACCTCAGATATAATCCCTATATAACCCTAAAGCAGTGGTTCTCAACCTGTGGGTCGGGACCCCATTTGGGGTCGATCGACCATTTCACGGGGGTCGCTAAGCAAGGCTGTCCGCCATTTTTTTTGTCTGCCATTTTTTTTGTCCGCCATTTTTTCCCCTTTTCCGGCGGGTGCCTTACCTCCCTTGGGCTGGGCCAGCTGGTGGTCGGCCTGCTCCGTCTCTGCCGCTTGCCAGCTACGCCTCAGCCGGCGCAGGGGGTGGAACCACGCATGCGCGGTGCTCCCGGGCAGGGAAAGTCCTCAACTTACGACCGGTTTAGTCCTCGACTTACAACCGGTTTAGTCCTCAACTTACGACCGGTTGGGGTCGCGGCATTAAAAAGGTTGAGAACCACTGCCCTAAAGACTATCTCTTGACTACCAAAATGCTAGACTTCTTTTTCCCTTCATTTTTCATAGATAATCTTTTTGTTTGTTTGTTTCAGATCGAAGGCTTGAAAGGAGATCAAGTAAGTGTTCCTAAATTCTTTAGTACAGGTGATACATGTACAGGTAGAATATTTTCAAGGTTACTTAAACTCATTCTCTCTGTGCTCAGACATGATATCTCTATCTCTTAATTGTTTAAGTCATGGAAAACTGACCACCCCCCCCCCAAAAAAAATACAATGCACTACTTAAAAGCTGGGTTCTGCATACCCTTCCACTATATAAAACAACTGCATCTAATTAAAATAAAAAAGGGGTACCAGACATAATCAAGACCATTTGATAAGGCCCACCCCAGAAAATCACCAGAAAACAATTAACTCTTAATAGATGTAAAAAGGAACAGATCAATCAAGTATCTGAAACAAAAGCCTTGATTCATTCTTATGCACTTTAGATGGATCTTGTCAATATGTTAAAAAACTTGATACAAAAATGCTAGTCATCTCAGATAATATCATGCTACACTTACCTTCCGTGCTATTTTTGTTGTTTTAACTTGAGGTGTAAAATAAAAAAATCTTCCACTTAGAGAATGATGAAAAGTAAATATTATAAATCTCAGACCCCAGAATCCATCCCATCAGGAGAGTTTAAATGCAAAGCAAAACTTCACCATGCCTTTTTTAACTTTGAAATTTGTTTATAGGGAGCTCCTGGCCCACGGGGACCGATGGGGCCTCCAGGAACTCCTGGTGTTTCAGTAAGTAATTTTATTTCTGAATGAATTATTTGTAATCTGAATAACCTATCTGCCAGGAGGGCTGAACTTAGATCTTTCATGGGCGTGAGGGGATTCCAAACTGATGGCATGCTTGACCCCTCCCTCGGGCTCAGACAGTGTCATCTCCTACACTACTGTATACAATAATAGAATACATTAAACATCACCTGAAGCTCAACTACATTTCATTTTGAAGTTAGAAATAATGCAGTGATGATCTGAGAAACCAGGTTTGAGAAATACTTCTGTTAAATATCTAGGAGAATCACTGTAGTACACAATACTGGATTTTCAGATCAACAGTATAGCTTAGTGCAGGGGTAGGCAACCTTGGCTCTTTTATGACTCATGGACTTCAACTCCCAGAATTCCTGAGCCAGCATGACTGACTCAGGAATTCTGGGAGTTGAAGTCCACGAGTCATAAAAGAGCCAAGGTTGCCTACCCCTGGCTTAGTGGAAAGAAGGTAGGGACATATTTAATTGTATTGCTTTACTTGTCTTTATAATTTCATTACAAAGTTGGCCTGGGGTACCAATGGGGGGGAGCACCATTCTGGAGGTGCCTATCGGATTAAGAAAAGACCTCACCTCCTCTGTGTAATCCCCCAATCTTTTAACTGTAAATTATTATTATTGTTTTAATATTTACCAGTTTTTAATGTTTGTAAGCTGCCCGGAGTTCACCTCTACATGAGAAGGACGGCACACAAATCTAATAAATAAAATAAACTAAAATAATTATCCATCACTCTTGATGCACCTTTTCTATCTCCTATGTAAATCTTTGTCACTCTGTTAGCAGAGTTCTCATTTGGATATCACTATTTAAGAGGGGGTGTTTTGGATCCCATTGCTTTGGTTCATGTTATAGGGGATAGCTATTTTTTTTCCCATGGCATCCACCCAAAATAGAAATCATTTAATATCAATGGGCCTGTATGCAATGTAAAGGAAAAAATATATCTTGTTTTCAGGGACCACCTGGACCAGAAGGCAAGATGGGATCTCCAGGTCTACAAGGTCTACGGGTGAGCAATCATTCTTGTTTTCAGAGGCTTCCATCTAAAAACCTCTCCTTCCTAACAAAGTTATCTATTTTATTTCAGAAGAAAAAATGTTACCATTTTCCCCCCTTTTCTTGCTTTGAGCTTAGAAAATTTTAAAAATCACTTGTCCCAAAGATCCCTTTTCAAAAGGCAATTGAACTTTATTTTTCCTTGAAGATGTTTCACTTCTCATCCAAGAAGCTTCTTCAGTTCTGACTGAATGGTGGAGGATGAAAGGATAGATGTTTCTTGCAGTCATCTGGTTGTTAAGACTCTTTCTGGGAGTTATTGAGGCCACTTGGAGGTTTATCTGTGCCTTCAGGGTCACCTGAATAGTGCAAATGGGTGTGGAACCTTCTTGGAACTGCTGAAAGGACTATGTTGTAAATAGGAGATAGGTGGTGTCGTATTACTCCCCTCCTGTTGAGAGAGAGGGACACAGATAAACTGCCAAGTGGCCTCAATGATTCTCAGAAAGAGGACCAACAACCAGATGACTGTAAGTAATATAAATCTTTCTTTTCTCCACCATTCTTAGATGAGAAGCAAAAAGTCCAGTTGCACTTTGAAAAAGCAGCTTTGAGACAATCTCCAAAGACTTTAAAAATCACTTATTTCTTCTCGTGCTAACATAGTGCAGCAATGTAAATTTAAAACTTTATGGAACAGGTTTGGAACGGAGATACCACTTGAGACTGCCAAGTTTCCAGTAGAAAGAGTTCATTTTCCTCTTCTCTCTTGCCTATTGGTATCCATGATTTATAATAGCTCTTATTTCCTGAGATGTAACAGGAAATCCCCAATGATAGTTGCCAATTCTGAGAATGTGTTCTTGCATTCATGTTCTGCCTTAGGGCTGGCTCTGTACTCTTTGCTGATCAATACAGAAAGAGGAGGGTGGATGATATAAGACTTTAGAATGACCCCCACACAGCAAATCATTATGTGAGCATCATTAGGGATATAGTAGTAAAATGAAAGAGGTATGTGCTGCCATGCTGATAAATCTGTGTATTTACAATAGGCAGACGTGGAATATATTATAGATCACCAGAGAGATGGGCAGCATATTTATACACCAAGCAGGTTGCTCGCTTGTCTATAAAACTTACTTTAAGAATACACAAACTAAGTAATAGGACATAGCCTAATAGGAAATCTCATTATACTCCTCTTGATAGATTTTTGAACAGTACTGTAAATACTCTTATAAAACTTGCAGCCAAGTTTTATAAGAGTTATAGAGACATTCACTAATGAGGATTAAGCTATCTAGTGAGTAGTAATTTTTATGAATGCTTACTAGCTCTTAAATCCTAGGCACCGTGTGTTCGAATCCTTCAAAAGTTTTTTTTTTCTCTTCCTTGTACTTTACTTATATAGATTTTTATAGAAAGAAAATTTTGGATTTTTTTTCATTGCTAAAGATCCATTTTTGATCCTATTTGGGGCTATTCTGAAAAAGTGGATAAACATGCAATTCTGCTGCTAGTTTTTCACCAAGGTCATGAGTGACAAAGCTTAATAGAAACAATACATTGGAGACTATCCTTAGGTGATATGTATAGAGATACTCAATCATCCAGGTCATGGTTTGCTTTTCCAAAAGTCTACTGGACTAACTTGTTTTTTTTTCTCTTGGAAACATTTCACTTTTCATCCAAGAAGCTTCTTTAGTTCTAACTGGATTTATATTCTAAGGATTTATATTCTTTGCAGTCATCTGAGGGTCATTGAGGCCACTTGGGGGTTTATCTGTATCCTCAAGTCACCTGAATCAGAGTATAAATTGAGACGACCAGATGACTGCAAAGAATATAAGTTTTTCCATTCCTCACCATCCAGTTAGAACTGAAGAAGCTTTTTGGATAAGAAGTGAAACATTTTCAAGGAAAAAAAACCTGACAAAGTCCAGTTCCCTTTTGGAAAAGCAGCTTTGAGACTATCCTTAGGTAATGTTGAAACAAGGAAAGAAATCTTTTTGCTAAACACCGTTACAATTATGAGTGATCTAAGAATCTTTTTGTTAAGGAAGGCAGAAAAGGAAGGCAGAAAAAAAAATGACACCGTGTGTTCTTTTAGGAGGAAACAGAAACGTGGCATAGACATTGACACAAGAACAGATAATATTTATGGGGGTTGGTTGGCTTTGAAAGTTCGTTCCCAAATTCTTTGTATTATCTTGGAATAAAATATCCGGTTCAATTAAAGTTTTCTCTGTTAGAATACTTATTTGGTTGAGTTTAAATCTGAACCATCTTCTTCCCTTTCATTCCTTTCCCTATGGTTCTCTCTCTGGGTCATTGTTTTTAATTGCTGGTTTCTACACTCTGGGTGCAGAATGAGAATTCATTCTTTTTTTTTTTTCCTGGCGTAATTCTATTCTGCTATAGTAATGAAAATTGTACTAGGTAACCCATAAAAAATAATGCAATGGACTCTGGGATAATACATTCTCATATAGAAATGAGATTAAACTTTCCCCTGTGTGCTATAAATCTGTACTGAATTACAGGTTTATTTTTCTTAGCTCCTTCATTTTACAGAAGCCAAAGAGGATCTGTTTAATAGCCCTGCTCGCAATGAGAGGAACACGGACTCTTTCAAAAAGAAACATCATTTTTTTTTCTCGTTTACTCGTGTTGTTCATTTGGATTGTATTTTGCACAAAAAATGCCTTGAGCCCAGTGTGGAAACCACACAGATGGTAGTATTCCAAAGCAATTGTTATGTCAAAAATCTAATCGTGGCTGACAAATTCTACTTAAATTGCAACATAGCACCAACAATTCCTTCATGAATTTTCATTGATTTTTCCTAGTAACAGAATAACAGAGTTTGAAGGGACTTTGGAGGTTTTCTAGTCCAATATGGCTGCTGCATTTTGGTCCAGTTGAAATATCTGGACACCTTTTTTTTTTTTTTAAGGAAAGCTCCCCATGAAACATGTTGTCAAGGCTGCTGACATCGGATGTTCTTGCTTGACAATATATGAAGAAGCAGACATTCCCTATTTAACCTGTGTATTACTTCTAGAGTTAAAGTTAGATAGTGTTGGAAGGGAGGGGGGAAAGGATGTACATGGGGAATAGTTAGCCATAACAATATTTCAGTACAGTATTTTTCAAGGTTAATTGTAACCAGAGGAGATACGGGAGGGAAAGTTCACACTTCAAACTAATTGGAGAATGTGATTGATGATTGTTAAATGAAGGAGTGAGTTATGCTTTGTTACGAGTGATTGGGGGGAGGAGAATTCAGTTTTTGGCTTCACTATGTACGTGCTGAAGCTATGTAGTAATTAAAAAGATTCTTTAAGGAAAACAATGCCTCAAAGTTCTTTGAAGAGCTTCTACTTTCGGAACCATGACAGCTGGCAGGAATAGCTAACATTCTAGAAAACAGGCTTAAGATACAGGAGGACCTGGACAGACTTGAACACTGGGCGCTATCTAACAAAATGAAATTCAATGGTGAAAAAAGTAAGGTTCTACATTTAGGCAAGAAAAACCAAATGTACAGGTGTAGTATAGGGGGTACCTTGCTCAGTAGTAGTAACTGTGAGAGGGATCTCGGAGTCCTAGTGGACAATCACTTAAATATGAGCCAGCAGTGTGCTGCAGCTGCCAAAAAAGCCAACACAGTGCTGGGCTGCATTAACAGAGGGATAGAATCAAGATCATGTGAAGTATTAATACCACTTTACAATGCCTTAGTAAGGCCACACTTGGAATCCTGCATCCAGTTTTGGTCACCACGATGTAAAAAAGATGTTGAGACTCTAGAAAGAATACAGAGAAGAGAAACAAAGATGATTAGGGGACTGGAGGCTAAAACATATAAGGAAAGGCTGCTGGAATTGGGTATGTCTAGTTTAACAAAGAGAAGGATGAGGGGGGACATGATAGCAGTGTTCCAATATCTCAGGGGCTGCCACAAAGAAGAGGGAGTCAAGCTATTCTTCAAATCACCTGAAAGCAGGATAAGAGGCAACGGGTGGAAACTAATCAAGGAGAGAAGCAACCTAGAACTAAGGAGAAACTTCCTGACAGTTAGAACAATGAACCAGTGGAACAACCTGCCTCCAGAAGCGGTGAATGCTCCAACAGTGGAAGTTTTTAAGAAGAGACTGGACAGCCATTTGTCCAAAATGGTGTAGGGTTTCCTGCCTGAGCAGGGGGCTGGACTCGATGACCTCCATGGTCCCTTCCAACTTTATTATTATTATATGTTGCAGCACCCTAACGCTAATCAAAATCAAGGATTATAAATTCTGTGTAAAGCAGGTGCTGTAAAATTAAGAAGACCCCTTGAACCCAAGGAATTGTTTTACTTCAAATCTAGTTTTACTTTATGACTCATAATGAATGGGTCAAATAATCAGTTCAGCTTGTTTCTTTTCGTGATGCCATTCATAACTTTCAATCCTCTCTTCTAGGGTAAGAAAGGAGAAGCAGGTCTCCCCGGAGTTGATGGATTATCTGGACCTGCTGTAAGTAAGACTGAAAGGGATACGAGTCTGATCTCTGTCCAAGGTGCTCAGAAATCAAGCTTACATAATGTTTGCAATGTATAAGATCAGGAAGCTCTTCTCCAATGTGGAAACTTGAATGTCAGCTTCTGTACTGTTTTATTTACTGAACTTGGTTTACTTGAAAGGCCCTCCGTGACTACGTATACAAAATGCATTTGGTTCTTGACTTCAGGCAAAATTCCCAAAGCCATTTGTTTACACTTTTGTCAGGGAATTGTGTGGCCGGTGTCTAAATGAAGTCATAGATGCTGACAAGTAATTGTAGTTTTATATAAATAAATATATTTTGCATCAATATCTACAGCGAAATAGATAGTCATGCAAAGAGGAGCATCATGAGGTAAATCACAGAGCACACAAGACACACAGAAGAAAAAGGCGGGAAAAAAGGGAAACTCCCCCTCCACACCCACACCAACCAATCACAGCGCAAATTGCCTCACATGGATAACAATCTGGTAACAATCAACCACAATTGTGTATTCTGCCTCATTGCACAACCCCGTTGCTCCAACTACTACATTTAAATATCTTAACACACTTTGAATTGCCCTTTGAAGTGCAAATGATCTACACACAGAGGGCAGAATGCCCCTTGGGTAAATGATGCTTTAAAGCAGTGGTTCTTAACCTTTTTGAACAAATCGCCCCCTTGAGCCAATGAGGAAGTTGTCATCGCCCCCCTCCCCCAACATAACCTCTCAATCACAACATAGGAAATAATTCTTCAATTTATGCAAACACTTTGTTTTGTTTTCTTTAAAATTGTCATCAGGACATATCGATGCAAATAATTTATTTCCAGTCTTTTTTCCATATCTCCCATACTCTGGCTAATGGCGTGCCACTGTATGGGTAGAGGCTGCTGCGCAACGCACATGAAGATAAGCGATGCATATTCACATATGTATGACGTTCTGTACTGAAGCTAGTTGGAGGAATATTTGAAAACACAATTCAGTCCACTAATAGCGAGCGATTTGATGTTTTTGTATGACAGATATACAGCCATTCACTGTACGAAAAAGTCTCAAAAGTGTCCCCAAAACTTCTCGCTCCATCGCCCCCATATCGCCCCTTTTAGTTCCTTCGCCCCCTTGTCGCCCCTTTTAGTTCCATCGCCCCCCTGAAAAATGAAATCGCCCCCTGGGGGGCAATATCGCCCACATTAAGAACCACTGCTTTAAAGAATATCAAAACACAAATTCCAGGCTTTGAGAATTTACTGTCTGAATTTTCTTGGAGAAGGCTCAAAACCTACAATACGTTACCTAGTGTGAACTACTCCAATGAATTATTCACTTTTTTAAAAAAAAATAAATCATGACTTGTTTTGTGATCACTGTGCAAGAAGAGCCTGGCCTTTTATTTTTTATTTTTCTTTGGACTTTTATTTTTCATTAGATTTTCATTCCATGTTAGTTACCGAAAAAAGAACAAGAATGAGAAGCTGAGGAAAACATCCACCTTGACATTTTCTCATTACAGTTTGAAATGTGACATGAACCCAAACAACAAAGAACAAATCTTAAAAAGCTCTACCTTTTCCGATGTTAAGACTGACCTTTTGCTAACTCGGTTTCTCTTTTAGCCTGGCTAGGCTTTTTTAATTACTATAAAACTTCGAGTAAATTGAGTTGCTTGTGGAGAGAGGAGCAGGAGGTGGGGGAAAAAAACCACCAAATATATCTAGCAATATATATATTTAGAGGAGATTGGAACTAGGGAAGAAGTTCAAAGGTATTTCTTAATAGAATAACAAAGTTGGAAGGGACCTCAGAGGTCTTCTAGTCCAACCCCTACTTAAGCAGGTTCAAGATGAGGCAACCTATATCTTCTTCTGGAACAAGAGCACAAATGGATTTGGGGAATATGAGAAATATTGCTATATGCTAATCACTTCTTGGTTGTGAATCAGAGTGGATTTTGTCTTCAACAATTCACAGAAGAATAATGCCGAGTATTGACTTTATTTAGCTCACTTTTCATTTCTCTGAAAAGACAGGTGTCACTCAAGTGCCATTCACTGGCAGAAAAAAGGTGGTTTACATTGAATAAAGCAATAAAAACTCATTTTTTATTATTTATACTTTTCAGTTCTCCCATCGGTTAAATTGTTTTCTGGGCAAATTGCACCATAAAACTATAATGGTAGGAAAAGTAGTACATAGAGAAGAGACATCCTACTTCTAGTGTGTAAAGAACAGTTATTCATTAAATTGCTAAAATGGAAAATTAGAAACAATGCTTGTGGAAAAAAAATCTATTGATGGATTCATTCATTCATTCATTCATTCAATTTCTATAGCCGCCCATTTCAAGCAATGACTCTGGACAGGTTACAATTTAATGTAATTGTGTTCTCAATTTCTTTTCAGGGTCCCCCAGGACCTCCTGGAATTTCTGGTTCTCCTGGACTNTGCATCGTTGGGTGCCAGGTGTGTGTGGCCCATTGGCTGGGTGTGGCCCGTTGGGTGGGCGTGGTCCATTGGGTGGGCATGGCTGCAGTGGTAACGGCAGACTGGGTGGGACTAAAATGTTCAATCAATCAATTCCAACTTTGCAAGATCTTTTTTTTTTCCCGCGAGAAGTTGAAATTGACTGATTGATTGAACTTGTTTTTTTTTTTTGTACACAGCGGTGGAGGCCTAAAGCGAAAAGGTTTTATAAAACCCAGCTGAAGGCCTAGGACTGGGGCGGCAGTGTGCGTGCCCAGAGAGAGGGCTCTGAGTGCCGCCTCTAGCATCCGTGCCATAGGTTCGCCACCAGTGCCATAGGAGCTTTTGCTGGGACCTGGCTGAGAAGGGGTGGCAGATAACACCAGGGAAACCTCAATATTACATTCTGTTTTTACTGTGTTTTGTATTGTCCTAGGGTCAACCTGGAGAAGCTGGCAGAAATGGTGAACGAGGACCACCCGTGAGTTCATGTCATAGAATCTTCAGTGCTAATACATGTGCATTTGGGTGGATATATAGTTAAAATATTCAAACAGCTTCCTCCTAGGTCAGGATGTATTTTGCCTTTAAAATGTTGCTTTTAAAGGTATTAAGATAATTAAAAAGAGTAATAAGACTATGAGTTAGTCCTATTATCATTTGCTAGCATCAGCCCATATGCCTCCAGTCCTTATCTATGACAGGCCTTTTCAACCAGTGGTACGGGTACCACCTGTGGTACGTTGGCACCTGGCAGGTGGTATGCGACCATCCTAGAAAGGTGGTAGCGGGGGAGGGGAATGAGCTGAACGGTGGCAGCACCGCACAAGCCTGAGCGAGAGATGGCTGGAGCTGCAGGGCTGTCAGGGCTCAGCGGAAGCGCCAGGATCAGCATTTCTTCAGGGCTGTCAGGGCTCAGCGGAAGCGCCAGGATCAGCATTTCTTCAGGGCTGTCAGGGCTCAGTGGAAGCACCAGGATCAGCGCCAGGCTCCAGCTGAGCCCTGAAGAAGCACCAATCAGCTGGAAAGCAGCACTGATCCTGGTGCTTCTGGTGAGCCCAGAAGAAGCGCCGATCAGCTGGAATGTTGCAGCATCTCCAGGGTCTTGTGATTTACATTCAGATGCTTGGCAACTGATTCATATTTATGACGGTCACAGTGTCCCAGGGTCATGTGAAGTGACCAAAACCTGCTGCAACCACCCAGAAGACGGGGGGGGGGAGAATAAAAACCAAACACCCCCCACCCCACCCCCGCTGCCAATCCTCAACAGAAATGCTCACAACAATAAAAACCTCGGACAGGAGGAAGAGTGGCGCCGGGTTGGCAGGCAGGTGTCTTGCTCGGCTGTAGCTTGGGGGGGTCACTTTTTTCAGTGCCATTGTAACTTCGAACAGTCACCCCTCTTCTCTGTGACAACCCCTCAAGTATCAGAAGACAGCTATCAAGTCACTCATTATTTTCTTTGTTAGGCTAGATAGTACCTAGTTCCCTTAACTGTTCATTAAATTAGTCTCCAGACCCCTTATTATCTTTGCTGTACTCCTTCTAGGGACTCAGCATCTTTTTTTTTTTTTTTTTTTTTT